GCTAGGGCATGCACGATAAACTTGGTAAGGAATTCACTGGGCTTTCCTCTTACCTCGTTGTATCTCAGACTCATGGCTGAAAAGCTAGGCTACCTGGGAATCCAACAGAAGGGGACGGGAGGAAGCCTTTGGCTACAAGACCAGGAAGGAGCAGGCCAGCAAGACAACAGAACTTTTACACAATAATACGCCACCTGGGCTGGGGATACAGCTCAGCCGCACAGCGCCTGCCTGGTAAGTGTGAAGTCATGAGTTTGGTCCCTGGTACCACAAAAATAAATGAATAATATGCTATTCTAGCCAAGCATGACCTTAAACAGTGTGGCCCTTCCCTGTTCATTCCAGCAAAGGCAAAGTAGAGAGCCTCGGCATCTTCACTAGGGGCCCAACAGTATGACAGGGTGTCTCCCAGGAGACCAAGGAGCGACCAGGGCTTGCACAGGGATGAGCCCCTCGCCCCCACCATCCCCAACTTGGTTATGTGAGTAGAGCTCATATAAAGGGCCCCGCTGGATTATCTGACAACGATTTGTAAAACAGTCACAATAAAATGCACAACAAGCAATTATAAACAACTCTTGAAACAAATGAAAAAGTCTCAAGGAAACACAAAACCTCAGTAAAAAAAAAACAGAAGATACAAAAACTGAAGAGAAATGTCAGAACTGAAAAATAACCAAGTGAAAGAAAGCTCAGCAAACAGGCTCAGTCACAGAACAGCCGGGAGGATGAAGGACCTGAGGGAACCAGAAGATGACAGTCATACAATCTTAACCAGAAGACAGACCAAATGAGCGGATTATCAGGGATCTCTAGAACTGTAACAATAAAGGTAACATTTGTGTCAATGAAAACCCAAAGTAGAGGAAAAAGGGAGGAGGAGAAGAAAAAAGTACTTGAAAGAAGCAATAACTAAGGCTTCCCCCATCTGGTTAGAGAAGGGACATGACAGACTCATGCATCGCACCACAAGAGCCTTCCCAAGTCACATCAGAACTAAACCTCTGAAAACCAAGGACAAAGAAAACACTGTGAGAAAAATGAAATCTTACCCACGTGGGAAAGAACAATTCAAATGACAACAGATTTCTCGTCAGAAAGCAAGGCCACAAGGAAGTGGCAAAGTATTTTTCAAACACGGAAAGAAGAGTGCAAACCCAGAATTCTACACTCAACAAAAACAGCCGTTAGGCTTCATGAGAAAATAAAGACATTCCGAGAGGAACAAAACCGAAGCCCATCTGGCACAGACACACCTTCAGAGTAGCTAAAAGTTCTCTAGACAGGAAGGTAACAGCGGAAGAGAGAGCTGTACAACACGGGGTGGGGGGCTGTAAGACAGACCGCGAGTAAATAAAAGTGGGCTTTTGTTTTTACTTTGCGTGTTATTCTTTGCTTTTGTTTTGATACAAGGGATAAAACCTAAGGATGCTCTATACTGTATCCCCCGTCTTTTTTAAATTTTACTTTCAGGAAGGGTCTTACTAAGTTGCCAAGGCTGGCCTGAAACTTAAGATTCTCCTGCTTCAGTCTCCTTAGGAGCTGGGAGCACAGCACTGAATGCACCGCCACATCTGGATTTTGTGATTTCATAATTAGGTTTGTCAGTTACACCAAACTGGTGGTAAATATAAGTATAGGAAATATTTTAAGATAATTATGGATGAGGGAGGAGAAACAAACATAAAGGAAAGTAAAAGTGCTACGCTGCACTCATAGTAAACTGCAATCTACAATAAGCGATGTGCCAAAAAATGTACACATCAGGAAAAGAAGCTTCTGCATGAATATCTTAATAAAGTTATTGAGACATCATGAGAATAATACAAGTTACCTTTGAGCTCTACAATTACAAGAGGTACTCACACTGGTGGCTATTAGCTTACACAATTTAAATCCTAATATAACAACTGCATTAAACATTAAGTATAATCTAGGTAAACTAATATAACAACTGCATTAAGTATATTCTAACTATAATTATTTAAAAGATATCAACAGTGAATTTGAAAACATGACCCAACTATACACTGCTGTATGGGCTGTCCTGTTGCTGGGATAAAATACTTGACACCCGTAACTTGAGGACTATTCAGGCGGGTATTTAGCTCAGCAGGGTAAGTGCCTGCTTAGCAAACGTGAGGTTGTGAGTTCAATCCCCCGTACCAAAAAAAAAACACAAAGAAGAGAACGATTTGATTTGTACCATTTAGGTCATGCGTTCAGAGGCTCCAGTCCATAGTAAGCTGGCTCCGAGGCCAGAAGGCCATGGCAGAAGGGGCAGCAGAGCACAGGGGAAGAATGCCAGGGCTAGAAAAAAAGCCAGGCACCACACACAGTCCCCAAGGTCACATCTCCACCTAGACACACCCAGAAGCATGCTTGGACAACCCCAGGGCATCTTTCAAAGCAATTAAGCTGAGGTCAATTTGAGAAGTTTAGAAGTTTAAGCATTCAGCAGGGGGCCAGGGTTCACTTTGTAAACATTGGCATCCTGTGGAAGAGGAGGGCATGAAGATGGTGCAAATGCTACACACACACCACCCCCCCCCCCCCCGCCATAAAGGGTAGTAGCCTGCTTACAGTATAAAGGAGGAAAAAAGGAAGCCTTCCTGCAGCCCGGAACTATTGCCCTGGTGTCATGCTACCCTGCCTTGGAGCCAGCTGATTATGGAGTGAAATCTCCACAAACTGTGAGCTAAATAAACCTTTTCCTCTTTAACTTTGGGTGCCAAGTATTTTTGTCTCAGCAAGGAGAGAAAAATAACCAACACGGTTGATATTCAAAATTAATTATCACAGCTTCCTAAACAAAGTCACTTTAAATACACATAACTATAAAGTTAGGTCAAAATTTAAAAGATGGGGGAAAAAAGGTAAATCATGTAAATATTAACCAAAGGAATGCAAGAACCTACAATTCAGAGCAAAGATAACTGCCAGACAGAAGTGCATTAGATAACAATGTCAACCCACAGAGAAGACAGCAATCCTAAATGTGTATGTACCAAGTGATAAAGTTGGAAAACAGAGCAAAAACTTAACTGAAAGATGGTCCACATTTACAGCTTGAGCTTTCAACACCTCTCTCTCCAAATGATTCGCACAACTAGGCAGAAAATCAATAATGCTGTACTACTGGATTAGCCAACAACTTCTAATCAACATTTATAAATGCCAAGTTAGAGTAGAACACACATTTTTGAGTGCCTATGAAACACAGTAAAACAGACCACACTGAGGTAGACACTGAACAATAAAGCAAACCTCAACAAGTGTGAAATAACTGGAATCATGCAAAGTATTTTCTCTGATAATAAAATAATCAAACTAGACATCAGTAACAGATATAGGCAAAGTCTCAAACCACTGAGACACAAGGCAACCCATTTATAAACTCAAGGGTAAGGGCCTCACTAAAAGCAAAAGGCTAAGGGCAAAATTTATTAGAAAAATGTATTTCACATCACCTAAACGCCACTTTGAGGCATACATGAAACAGGAAGTAGTCTCTCATTATCAAGTTTCACTGAGCATATTCTTTCATCAGCTAACTTCACTTTTATTTGTAACAACTATAGAGTCCCGTGGTTTGTTTTGTTTTGTTTTGTTTTTTGGGAATGAACACAGGGTAGTCTACCACTAAGCTAGATTCTCAGTCTTTTTTATTTTTAGACTATATTCCCCTAAAGTAGCCAAACATACACTGAACTTACTACCTCCTGCCTCGGCCTCCTGAGTAGCTGGGATTACAGTATGTGTCACTGCAACCAACTATTCCTATATTTTTCAAAAGTATAATTCCTGGGCTAAGGGTGTAGCTCAGTGGTAGAGTACATGCTAACGAAATAAAAAGCACCAGGTTCAGTCTCAGTAGCAAAAGAAGCAAAAACTTCTATAAATTATGTAGTATCATCTGCTCTAGTAAAGCCTAAGTTCTTATAACATTTACAAAAGTCCAGGAAAATAAGCTTTAGAAGATCAAAGCTCTCCAAAGATATTTAGGGAGCTAAGTAATTAGAATAAATGACTTATTTATGCACATATGAATAAATAAAGTGAAAAATTTGCATAACTCATAGGCCGAATTAAGATGTTTCAAGGGAAATAAAAAATACATTGAACTGAATGAAAATGAAAGTACAATATATCAAAAAGTATGGAACACAGATCAGCAGTGCTGAAGGCAAAGTTACACACCAAAGTAGGCTTGCGTAAGTACACCTGAATGCTTTTGGATAAAGGCAGAAAAATAATTCTAAGGGAAAAGATTGCCTTCCCACCAAACAGTGCTGAAGCACTGGATATCCATAGATACCCCCACCCAAAAAGATGAATCCTGAATTAAGTTTCACACGTCATACAAAAATTAACTCAAACCAGGCATGATAGCACACACTTGTAATCCCAGCACTCAGGAGACTGGGGCAGGAGGATTGCCCGAGTTCAAGGTCAACCTGGGCTACATAATGAGCTCAAGGCCAACCTGAACTGTGCAGCAAGAACCTGTATCCAAAGAAAAAAGAAATTTTAACTCAATATATCTCATGAATTTAAATAGAATATGAAGAACTATAAAATTTCATTAGTAAATGATCAGGATCTAGAGTTAGGCTAAAGCATAATCCACAAACGAAAAATTGATAAACTGAACCTCAAAATTAAAACAATTTTGTGAGTGATTATGAAAACATAGCTACAGAGTAGGCAAAAATATTTGCAAACCACATAGCTAACAAAAAACTACTGTCTGGAATATATAAAGAATACTCAAAAAGAAAAAAGTTCAAATAAAAAATGAACAAAAGACAAACAGATATTCACCAAAGAGAATACCCAGATATAGAGTAAGCATGTGAAACGATGATCACCAGCATTAACCACCAGAAAACACAAATTAAAGCAACAACGAGGAATCACTGCATATCTAGCAGAATGGCTACAGTTAAAAACAATCAAAACCAAGTGCTGCCAAGAATTTAAAAAAAACAATTACTCACTGTATTAGTCGCCTAGAACAGCACACTGTGCAGCTTAAACACCTATTTTCTCATGGATCTAGAGGCTGTCGTCCAAGATGAAGGTGTCAGCAGGTTTGGTTTCTTCTGGGACTTTCTGTTCTTAGCTCTCACTCTGCCAATCACTGTGTCCTCAGTCTTTCCTTCGTGTGCACACGTCTCAGGGGTCTCTGTGCTCCTGCATTTTCTCTTCATATAAGGACATCAGTCACAAATTAAGCCCCACCTAATGTTAAAGTTTAAATCACCTCTCTAAAAGCCCTTTCTTCAAATACAGTTAAGCATTCCAAGGTACTAAGGGCTAGGAGTTTCAATACATGAACTGGACAGACAGCATTTAGTCCATCACATTCATAATATTCCTCATGAAATTTAAAATGACACAGTCACTCTGAAAGACACCGGCAATTTCTTTAAAACCTAAAGATGCAACTACCATACAACTAGAAATTGTACTCTTCGGCATTTATTGTAGACAGATGAAGACTTATGTTCACATAAAAACCTATACACAAATGTTTATAGTAGTGACAGTCATAATATCCAAAAGAAACAGTCCAGTTATCCTTTAACAGGTGAACAAACAAACTCAAGTATATCCATACCATGGAATACTACTCAGCAATTAAAAAGGAACAAACTATTCAACCAGAGTAGCCTATGTATGAATCTCAAGAGAATTATGCCAAAAGGAAAAAAGCCTATCTTGAAAGGATGTACATTACAAGATACCCTCTATACATCACCCTTGACAAAATATAGTAACAGAGAATACACTGATGGCTGACAAGTACTAAGGAGCAAAGGGAGTAGGTAAAAGGAAGTAGGTGTGATTATAAAAATGAAACTTTACTTTTTTGCTACAGGCGGGTAGGAAATGTCACTGAATCCTTTCTGTGCTTTCTAATACTTGAACAATGTGCTTTAAATTAAAGTAGAACTATGTTTACAATCATGTAGGTTGGACAGAGGGATATTAAATTACTATATGTGGAATGAGTAAGCAGGATTGGATTCCAGGCCCAGCAAGACCTTCCTGGGTCCATCACCAACACTTCCCTTCGTGAAACTGTGCTCAATGCTTCAGAGTCACCCCAGGCAGCAGCTGCAGCATGAGCCTCACACACTGAAATCCCCACCTCTGAGGGAAGGGTGCTAAGGAATGGAGTCTTGGGGAGGGGTTAGGTCAGGAACACAGAGACCTCGTGAATGAGACTAGCACCCTTCTAAAAGAGATCCTAGAGTCCCTTCACTCCTTCCTCCATGGGAGGCGCAGCTACGACCATCTATGAACCACGAAACTTGCCTACCAGGTTCTGAATTTGCCTGTGCCTCAACCTCAGACTTTCTGACCTCCAGAACTGTGAAAAATATTTTATGGTCTACAAGTCACCCCGAAATGTGGCATTCTTCTACAAGAGCCTAAAAAGACAAGGCCAGATACAAATTATAAGAGTATTTCTTTATGAACATTCTTGTTTCTATAGTATCCGATCTCAGTAAGTTATCAAGGAGAAAAGCAATAATAATTAACTACTTAAATGACTCACATAAGGGTACAAAAAACCTGATAGATTTCAATATTCTCAAAAGGTATAATAAAATCAGACTAACTTAAATGGCACTTTAATGGAAATTGTATATTTAGAAGAGAATCCAAGGGATGTTTGCTGTAAGATCCATTCACCCAAGCCAGGGATTTAGCTCAGTGGTATAAGTGTGTTCCTGACAAGCACAAGGTTGTGTGTTCAATCCCCGGTACCAAAAAAAAAAATTTTTTTTTTGTCTTTTTCCTTTTTTTATCGGTACCGGGGATCGAACTCACAACTGCCTGCTTGCAAGGCAGGTGCTTATACCGCTGAGCTAAATCCACAGCCCCCCAAAAAAATTTTTTTAAAAGATCCACTCACCCTGTTTCCAATCCTGGAGTTGTTGGGTATTCTGCAAATAAAGGGGATACAAATCCCACTTTACAAAGTTTGCAGTAGCGGCTTCCATCTCACCACAAGTCAATTAAGATATGTGTCCAGTTCACTACCTTCCTATACAGTGGAAATGTCTGGTTTTATCTGTGAGTAAAGATCACCCAAGCCCCAGTGAAAACTGGAAAACACTGTGGGCTCCTGAACTGCCTTTAAGCTCCCAACCTCTGGCTTCTAAGGGCTCTAGGCCATGTCCTTTCTATCTCCTGGCCCAGAAGTCTGTGGTCTCCAGTGTCCCCAGTCACAACAAAAGAAACTTAAGTAAGGACCCAACTGTCTTTTAACAAACTTAACTTGCACATTAAGGCAGACAGGAGAAATTTTTAGCTTTAGGTTTGACTTGATTTGACTGAGTATATGGGGCACCACTTGCATTGTATCTTGGCAGTCCCGCTAAGAAGTATCTTCAGTGCAGCACACACCCAGAGAACTAGGCCAGAAGGTTAATAATAGGTTACTTGGGCTGCTCCGTTGCCCTCATCATTCTTTTCGACTTAATTACTCAGAAACCAAGAGTCTCAAGTTCCAAGAACCCAGATTCCACTTTGAAGTGTTTACTACCTTCTCCTTAACGTGCCTTTCTCCTTTCAGCACTTCTGTACTTCCCTTCACCCAGTCACCAAGAGTCTGTCCTCAGGTCCCAGAGCTTCTGGAGCCTCCATGCTGTGAGTGGTAAATGACAGGCCTCACGTGGTCCAAACCCAGAGCTCACACTTAAAGGCCAGACAAGGCCAGACAAGGAAGCACATCCAGACAAGGAAGGCCCCATCTGGCTATGTGTTAACTTTCTGTCACCATAACAAACACCTGAGGTAATCAGTTTATAAAGAGAAAAGGTTGATTTTGGCTCATGGTGTTGGAGATTCCAATTTATTACTGTTGGCCCTGCAGCTTTTAGGTGGGGACAAGGCAGCTTTCCAACACTGTGAATGGTGGAACAAAGCCACTCGCCTCACAATCAGGAAATGAAAAAGACAAAAGGAACCAGGTCCCAACGATCCTCAAAGGCTTCCACCTCTTCTTTTTTGGCTTTTTGTTTTTACTTGAGACACTGTCTCATTAAACTGACCAGGCAGCCCTCAAATCCCTGATTCTTCTGCCTCCCAAGTAGCTGGGTTACAAGGGTCTGCTACCAAACTCAGAGATTCATCATCTCTCTACAGCACCAAGCTAGGGAACTAGACATTCAACACACTGGCCTTTGGGGTACAGTGAAAAGCCAGCTACAGCAATGTGATAAAAAGTACGACTCACACTTCCGTTGGGAAGAAGAGGAACAGTAAACGTAGTGTGGGGAAAAAGGCAGTTTAACAATAACGACCGTTAAAGAGTACATGACATCAGGAAAAAAACACTGCCCTGCAATGATCAGGTATACAGAAGAACACAATGGGAAAGGAAAACTTAACAAGATTGGATGTTAGTTAATTATAATTACATAAGCGAGCTTTTATTTATGCTGAATTATTCTGCAAAATAATAAACATGAGTATCAAAAGATGTTGGCCTAATTCTGTTTTGAGTTTTATCTAACTATAACTTTCCTTCCAATTCCCACCTCTGCAGCTTCATTTGCAGTCAGCTAAAAAGGCAACAAGGTGATTTCCCCCAAAACTGAAAAACGTTTCTAAAGCACGTTACCACACTAGAGATCAGAAATTTGGTTCCCAGTTCTCAGATCTTCCACTTTGCAATTAATTACAGTGCTTCTTCTAGTCTTTTCCAGGACTTTTCCTATACCTATTTCTGTAATAATTTCCCAAAAACATTTCTTACCCTTCCCAGCTGATGAAACAGTAATGATTCAGAATGAGTCACATCAAAACCTGAACTTTTGCCGGGGGCTTAGCTCAGTGGCACAAGTGCCTGCCTGGCAAGCGTTAAGACCGTGAGTTTGACCCCAGTACAAAAAAAAATTTAAAAAAAAAAACGGAACTTCTAAATGACTCAAGGAAAAGATGCTTGAGTTAATTCATAACAAAAAATGCCCCAAGAGACTGGCAGACATCAAATAATCTAGTGACACACTACAAACAGTCATACTGATCTTCTCACACATTCCTGGTTAGATAAGCACCATAGTACCTCTGTGAAGGGAAATGTAATGATATTTACCAAAACTATAAATGCAAAATCCCATTCCCAAAAATTAATTTATATATACCTATCATTTCATGTGAAATAATACATTATACTAATTTATTGACAACATCAATACTGAACTGGGCATGGTGGTACACATCTCTAATTCCAGCTACTTGGCAGCAGAAACAGAAAGATCACAGTTCAAGGGGATCCTTGGCAATTTAGCAAGACTTGTCTCAAAATTAGATTTAAAAAGGACTAAGGACATAGCTCAGTGGTAGAACACTTGCCTAGCAAGGGCAAGGTCCTAGGCCCAATGTCCAGAAATTCAAGACAAATAAGTAAACAGTAATGACAATGCAGTGATAGCAACTTCTCACCTAGCATTAAGCATAGTACCAGACACTATCCTAAGCACATCATACATTATTCTCCCACCAATTCTATGACATAAGTGCAGTTAACACCACATCTCACAGGTGAGGAAAAGGCCAAGTAAAAGTACCCCAAGATCACATTGTTAATGTGAAGCCAGGATCTAGACCCAGAAAGTCAAGCTCCAAAACCTGCTCTAACCACTGCAGTTTACTAAACTACCTAAAGAGAAGTCACCAGGGAAATAGTTACATTAACTTCTACATCCATTTAAAGTAATACTCACAAAATTTTTTTAAAAACACATCCATAGTCCCATTAAAAACATGAAAGAACATCAAACAAACCCAAAACTGACAGATATTCTTAAAACTCTCAAAACTGTCAAGGTCACAAAAAACAAGACTGAAAAACTGTCAGCGACCAGAAAAGACTAAGCAATCTAGCATTCTGGATGGGTGTTTAGAACCAAAACAGGTCATTAATGGAAAACTGAAGCTACCCAAATACACCCTGGCATTCAGTTAAGAGTAACATACTAACACAGGTTTCTTAGGTCTGACAGATGTACCACAGTAAGTTAATGTCAAGGGGAAAATAAAACTGGGTGAGGCAGATACAGGGCTCTTTCTACTATTTTTCCATAACCCTAAAAATTATTCCAAACTAGGCGCTGGAGATACTGCTAAAGTAAGAGCATTCCTGTCCAGTGCGGACTACGTCCTGGCTCAATCTTCAGTACCAACAAACAAACGACACAAACCAAATGGAAGTTTATTTTTGAAGAAGGCTCTTTATGTAATAAAACTTTTAAAAATCCAAGAAATCAAACAAGTGCAAAAAAATGTGCACCGTAGGGAAGCAGGGTGTGCAGAGGTATGAAAGTGTCATTTGTGTAAGAAGGTGTAAAAGCACATCATGTATGAGTGACAGTGGTCTGCTTTGCAAAGGAGCAAACTCAAGAGTTAAGGGCCAGGACTAAGAGGGACTCTGTTGTTGTTTCTTTGTTTGGTAAAGTACTAGAGATTGAACAACTGTTGCTAGCCAAGTACTCTACCACTGAGTTGCATCCCCAGCCTTTTAAAATTTTAGTATGAGAGAAGTTCTCAATAAATTGCCAGGATGTCCTTGAACCGTGATGTTCCTGCCTCAGCCTGCCCAGTAGCTAAGACTCAGGTTTGTGCCACCACACTGGGAACGAGGACTTTTAATGTGTCTGCTTATAATTTTGTATTTTGAGATATGTTGATGTATTACCTATTCGAAAAACAGCTTTTAAAATGGAAAAGATGCCAGGGATTTAGCTCAGTGGCTCAAGTGCTTGCCTGGTAAGCCCTGGTACCAAAAAAATAAAATAAAACAGAAAGGATAACAAAGACATGAACTAAGAAAAAGATGGTGGAAATAATGTACAGGTTAATGAGAAAACATTTTAGAGCTTAAAAACAATCTCCCCCATCCATCCATTCCGGTTCCCATGCTTCCTTCTTCACTCTGCCACTGCCTTCTGTTCTTCAAACATTTTATTCTGGTTAAATCAATCTGACTACCACAGTCAACCAGCTAGTCACCAGCTTTTTCCTCAAACCTGTATCTCTCTATCTCTCCCTGCAAATTTAGCTCCAAATTTAAAAGCCACCCACCTCCTGTGTTATTTAGCATCCTGTATATTTTATGTATACCAAGGATAGCAAATAGAAGCATCCATGCTATTACAACTCCAACCCACGACTAGAAGCACTGCTCCGTGATCACAAGCCTCTTCCCATCAGCACAGACACTGCCTCCAACTATTCTTCAATGCAGTGTCCTAGCAGTCACTATTGTCGGTCACATCTAGCCCATGAGACAAAATATTCTTACCTTGTCTTGCCCTGTCAAAACATTCTTTGCCCTGATGTATTTCCCGGGACATTTACTTAAATATACCAAATTTTGTTCTGAGAAGGGTTAAAGATGCTTATAAGAATGCATTACTGGGAAAAAAAAAAAAAAAAAAACACACTAAAAGCAAAGAAAAGATAGGCACAATGACTCACACCTATAATCTCAACCACTCTGGAGGCTGAGGCAAGAGGACAGAAAGGTAAAGGCCAAGGCCAGCCTGGGCAGGTGAGAAAGACTCTTCCTCAACATGGAAAATTAAAAAAAAATGCTGAGGACATAGCTCAATGGTAGAACACCAGCCTACTACGATCAAGGTCCTAGCTTCAATTCTCAGTCCCACCCTAAAAAGAAAGAGAAAGAAAGAGAGAGAAAGCAAGCAAGTGAAGGTTCAAACTTGTACAGCATGAAACCAAAACCTATTTGCCCACTTTGGTGCGGGTCACAATCTAGTTTTGGCATCCAGTAGGCACCACGGAAAGTAAAACTCGGTCCACCGTCCAAGAGATAAAGACAAAGTACACAGAATGGGAATTATGGTTATCAAACAGCAATTTTTATAAAGCAAAGAGAACTCTATAGAATAGCCAACATATACAAGACACATAACTATGTCTTCAAAGGACTGGGTAGTTTCTGATAGTGCTCCTCAAGGGAGATCTCCCGCTATCTCCTGCTTCTTATCAAGCTCAACTCAGCAAAATTGATTTTACAAAGAGCAGGCACAAGCTTTAACAGCTCTCTGCCCTTTCACTTCCTTTATTGCCTCGTAATTAGATTACAAAGTCTTTGAAGACAAGGACTATTTCTTTTAATTCTTGCAAATAGCTCCAAGGTATTTTGCACTCTACAAAAAAAAAGCATTCAATATTAGCAGGAATTTACATATCATAATTCAAGCTTATTCTGATAAAAATTCTCTAACCTCATACCAATTCCTACTTCTACTAAATAAATATGCTAACTGAAACCTCAGTGGACAGATTTCTGATCCTTCTATATGATTAGTGAATCTCAGTTTAATTTGTAATGTCCCAACAGCATTTTTGTTTTGCATATTCCTACCACAAAGCTTGCAAAACTACCAAATCAATATTGCTGCATCTTATCCAATAAAATGGAACTCAAAAACAAAAGCTCTGGCTACCTACCCCTATTAAAGGAAAGTATTACTATCTTTCAAGAATATAATCAATAACTCTTTACAAACCAGCTGACAAAGGCACGTTCATTTTCTAAATGACTCTGCAAGCCCACCAGAAGACAATGAATTATAATGCAGATTTTATCTACATCTTTGTAAGAATCTGCAGTTTTTACATGTATCCATCTGCCAGAGAACTGTACTTCCCAACTTGTAATTCACACACACCCCTCACTTACACTTCCCTTTATGACCACTACCCACCCCCACCCTTTACTTAGTCAAACCGGCAAGCAAAGAGAGCCAAGTAATAAATTATTTAGGTAAAGTGATTATGAGCAACATGAAGTATACAAAACTGAAATTACTACTCTTAAGTATAAGCATTAGAACACATTAACAATCCTGTATTCCATACACATGGAAACCATTAATAAATGAGTAGTCTCACCCCACAGCGGATTGGTATTAGTATTTCCGTTTCCAGTACGCCCTCATTTGGTATTCCTGTACACAGGGCAAGCTCTTTCATCCCCAGGAGGGGACAGTTACGATGAGTGAAGGAACTTGGCCAGGACTGGGCAGTGTTAGTTCCCTTGGTTTTCCATTATAGGTAAGGAAAGAAAGGATGTGAGCGGTTAGCCGTCTTACCCGGGCTGAAAAGTGTACTAAAATGCATGATGTGGGGCCTACCGCTCTTAAACACTACACTACGCTACTTCAGAACAACAGACCACATCTCATGCCGCTGCTGGGCATTTACCGCCTGGAAGAAAAGAAGAAGAAAAGGCGATCTGAACAGCCATGAGATGCCAGATAGCACACTGATTTTTTTCCTCATAAGCACTCTGTAAAGTAGGTGTTGTTATCCCATTTTGCTGAAAAGTTTAACTTAAAGCTAACAAGTGACAATGTGTGATGAATCTCTTCTAGGTCTACTCACTGCACTACCCCCTACTATCCTGAATCAAAGAAGTCCAGGTGTTTGGAAATCACTGTCTGCCAAAATTAAATACTAAATAACCTGGGAATTCTTCTAGACGCTGCCAATGTATGCATGGAAACAATCCCTACCTCCAACAGTCTACACCTTCTTAAATTTGTTCCTATTCGGTTAAAGCATAATTATAATTTCCATAGTAAAAGAAGAAAAAGTTACATTTGTACACCACCTCACAGTTTGTTACTAGAACTGTTTTCAGCTGTATGAGACTTGCACATATTACCTCCTATCTTGCAATATGTTCAAGCCTTTGGTGAAGTAAGAATTACTCCCATTTTACAGATTAGAAACTATTTTGAAGAGGACAGAGTGTCTTGCATGAGGATCTACTATCCAACTAATAAACAGACATGTAGGACTTTCCAGAAGCTCTTACGCAGGCTGATTCAATGAATCATCTCCTGTATGCACCAGCTCCACACAAGGAACATAAAGGTTACATGCGGCAAACATGTCCCAATACATTTCTTCCTGTGAGTAGGAAAATTTAATCATTTGCTTTCATCAACTTACACATAAAATGTAAATCCCCCCCAAAAAACTTGACAAAACAATAAAAGCGAGGGAAATTAGATCGTCTCGGATGGCTTCCCTCCTCACTAGATGTCAGGTGACCTCGAATAAACACTGACAAGGCAAACATCTTAAACTGTTCCTGGGCAAAGTCTCGCCCTCGAGACTGGCTTACTCTTGACACCAAATCAGGCAAGCACAGTAAACCAAGCAGGAAACATTAACATGCACACCTTGTGGGAATACAGACGCAAGAGTCTTAAAATACTTAAGTGGAAAAAAGGACTGTGTGTAAAAGAAAAATCCTGCAAACACGTACTACTGTGTACTGTCACGTATGTGTGTGTACACACACACACACATGAATGCAAAGATACAAGTTAGAAATACAAACTGCAAACCGCACAGTTGTTATCTGAACCGGGGACGGTCTCAGGTATGAAAAAGGAAAGGCACGAAGCAGCAAAGGGCGTTTTCAGCGTTTACTCTCTAGATCACATTTTGAGTTTTTATATTTAACATGCATCGTGGCTGACCATTAAAATACATAACTGAAAAGCAGAGCCTAAGTATTCTTTTCCTATAACTCTTCTGTTCCTTACAGCAAAAACTGTCGTATTTACTCAACAAACTCACTCAACAAATCAATCACTCAACAAATACCTGTACAAATTCTGTGTTTGAGTACTGAGCTAAGTACCTAGAAAATGAATATGTGGTCATCATCATGTTCTTGAAACTTATTATAGTTCTTACTTTCTTCTGTAAAATACAACGTTAAACGAATTCTATCATGTATTTTTAGGTCATGCCATCTCTGGAACTCCAGATTTTCTACAACTTATATTGCCCTTATAGTTATTCACTCGAGCTGGCGTGGCGGCTCATGCCTGTAATCCCAGCACTCAGGAGACTGAGGCAGGAGGATCACTGCAAGTTCCAGACCAGCCTGGGCTACAAAGTGAGCTCAAGGCCAGCCTGAACTGCATAGCGAAACCCTGTCTCAAAAAGACAAAAAAAAAAAAAAACCTTCTCCCTCAGGGGGTGGGAGGAACAAAATAGTTACTCACTCAACAGTGTTTAGAATCCATGCTATGCATCAGGCACTACTCAGGACAATAGATAAGCTAAGATGAATAAACTGACATAGGGATCCCACCTAGTTTCCAAAGGACTTGCAAGTTTTGCATATATGTTACATCGGAAACACTGCAGTACCTAAAAACTGAAATTAGCACTTTAGTAATCCTGCACTTCAAAAGTGGCAAGCTGCACCATTTCAAAAATAAAAGTTACTCTCATTTTAACACTGAAAAATCTTAATGTTTACATAAAATATGAAACTCTTCCATCATATTACCATTATAGGGAATAAATTAGTGGAAAGACAAACCATGAGAATTGCAGAAGAATGGGACGCATCTTAGTGAACTGGGGTTCTAAGATCAGTTATGCCAAGAGGAAGCTCTTAGTAGGATTAATGAATCTGGTTTCCCACTGGAAATACAGAGCAATCAGACCCATCCTCCTGTAGAGGAGAAAACCAACAATTCATCTGAAAACTGTAAAACTTGGGGAATTTAAGACAATATGGTCACAACACCTGCTCCTTTTTTGTTCTGTTGATTTTTTAAAAATTTATTCTCCCCCACTGAGTCACTGATTAGCCAAGCAAATTCACAAACACAATGTAACTTCTGTATGCCTCATGAAGTAGAGAGAATGCAGGAAGCAGTCAGACGACCTGAGTTTATATTCAGATCCTGCCTCTCACTAACTGTAAGGTTAAAAGGCAAGCAAATTCCTGAACCTCTTTTCATCTTAGTTTCCTAGCAGGAAGGCAGGTACAACATATCCTACAAAACTATTTAAAAGATGAAATAAGCAAATACACGTGAAAAAGCAAAAACTGAGAAACTATTATAAAGTTTCCAAAGATATTCAAATAAAAACATGAAAAGATGAACTATAAATGAAAACCATGATGAGAGTCTACTGCACAGCCACTAAGATAGCAGTCATCAAAAAGAAAGGTTCACAAGTGCAGGGAAGGTTATGGAGAAAACAGAACCCTCACATAAGGCTGGTGGGAATGTGACAGCCACGGAAAACTTTAACAGTTCTTCAAAAAGTTCACTAGGGTTGACTCAGCAATAAACACGAGAGAAATGAAAACATGTCCACACAAAAACTTGTAAATGAGTCTTCACGGCTGCATCATTCATTACAACCAAATGCCCAGGAATTGATAAATGGATAAGCAAAACATGACATATCCATACAATGGAATATTACCCTGCCATAAAAATGAGTGAACTATAGACACATGCCGTAATACAAACCCTGAAAAGACGCTAAGGGAAAGGAACAAAGGGCCACATACAAGACAGCTAAATCCATAGGCAGAAAGATTAGTGGTTGAGAGGAGGGGTCAGAGGAGCCTGAGGCAGGAGGACTGCTGCAGATTGAAGACGCCAGCCCCCACTGTGCAGTTAGTTCAAAGCCAGCCTCAACTGCACAATGAGATCTGGCATCAAATCCCACCTGCCCAAAAAAAGTACAGGGGCTGTGGAAATGGCAAAGGAAGGTAAGCGATCAGGCTTTCTTTTCAGAGTGAAAACGTACTTGAATTGACGTGATGCTACATAATCTCAGGAAGCACTAAGACTACTGAATTACGCACTTTTAAAAAGTAAATTTTGGGGGCTGGGGATTTAGCTCAGCAGCATAAGCACCTGCCTGGCAAGCAGGCGGTTGTGAGTTCAATCCCCGTACCGATTAATAAAAAAAAAAAAAAAAAAAAAGACAACAAAAAAGTAAATTTTGTAGCATAAAATACATAAAATTTTGTATCTCTAAAAATACACAGAAATTTAAATTTCTGCTACTTCTCATTAGTACATATGCTGCTTTCCTCCAGCTGATCCTGTTACTTGTAACAGCAATAAAAGCTCTCTGAAGTTAGACATTACACTACAAATGGAATTTTCAGGAAAGTAAAACTATGAAATCAGTGAAATTTTCTAAAAATCATATTAATTTGGTACAACTTCATTTCTTCCCATTGAGCTTATTTTCACATAGTGGAAAAGCTTCAAGGAGTGGAAAAAGCTTCAAGAAGACATTTTTAAACAGAAAAGAGGTCAAGAAAGTGATTTTTAAAATTTAGATCTTATACAAACTAAACAAGACTGTCTACTTAAAATATCATTAAAATGACCATCGGAGAAGTAAAACCTAGGTATAGTACAGCAGATGGAACTTTTCAACTCCATTTGCCATTTTCTATGTTCCCCATCCAGTTACCAGATGTTTATCCTATCCCTAGATTCTGAATCACTTACATTGATTATTCGTTCCAATTATTAGTCTCAAGGATTATAATGTTTGATAAACTCTAAATGCGATCAATTCATTTTTCCCTACTCAGTGCATAGGCCCAATTCTTAAGATTAAATTTAGTTCAGAATGGCTGCATGAATATTCAGCAAAATGATTTCCTGGCATTTGGGATATAAAAACAATCAATAGAGCTGTGTAATGTTTTCTAGCTCCTCTGGGAATTTTTTTCATGTATTCAGTCATGGGGTAAAGACAGTCACCAACTCTGTCCTCAAAAAGTATTATATATAAAGGCTTCCTGGTTCTAGAACAAAGAAGTATTTTATTGCTCAGAGCAAAAGGAAAATATTTTCCTTCCATTTAGTATTGTTATACCAAAATAGCA